AAGAACAGTCAGTTCACCGTGTGTGTTTGTTTTTGATAATTTGTTTAATTTGTATGCATTATTGATCGATGAATAGGAGTTTGGGAACTTGCTTTACTCCAGAATGTTAAGATCTGGGAAATCCTTGCTTTGAAATTCTATCAGCAATGTTGAACCTGCTTTTTTAAATTTGATTATTTCCAGAATGTATGAAATGCAGGTTGTTTTCTGGTATACAGTTTCAAATCTCGCAAGGTTTTAAAATTTCTTTTCTTTCAGCTGGTGTTGTTATTCTTTTAAAAGGGAAAAGTTATGTAAGATCATAATGTGCCGTTATAGGAGATTTGTTTACTGTTCTCTTTTTCTGATTAATTAACTCATGCCGTTGATTATTGGAAATGACTGGCAATCTTCATTTTTTAAGTAGTTGTACTCGTCCATATTTTGTCTATTGGATAGATGACAGCTCAATAGTACTGATATGCCCTTGCTGAGACTCCATTGTTGATAACCATTGTTAGATTTCAATCGAAAAGCAATCCCTTTTGGCTAGAATTTAGAGTTAAGGGCATTTTAATTTATTTAAGTTCGATCGAAAAATCAATATGATCAGGCTAGAGTTTAGAGTTGAGAGCAGCATTTTAATTCATTTAGAGCTGAGCAATTGTTCTTTGTTATCTCTCTTTCTTTTCTCAGTCTGCCTCTGAGCGGAATTAGACTGTTTAAATTTCATTTCAGAGTAAAAGATCAAGTGACAAAAAGGGATGGAATTTTCGGAAGAGATCTGAACGGCATCGGGTGCTTAGCAACACTGTGATACAAGAAGCTACCTCTGGAGGACTTAAGGAAAGTCAAGAATCTGCTGGTTTTGAGTTTCAGCAGCCAGATCTCTCTGTTGCTCCTGATAAAACCTCCACCGTTCAGTTTATCGAAGAGAAACCTCAGCTGATCACCCCTAAAGAGTACATTGAAGAAAATGAGTTGGTGGTACCAAAAGAGTACGATGAAGAAAAACCTCAGCCGGTGATGCCAATAGAAGTTGCTGAAGAAAAATCTCAGTTGCTGATACCAATTAAATGCTCTGAAGAAAAATCTCAGCCATTGACTCCAGAGGAACCAAAAGGGACTGAACCTGTCTCTGCCACTACAAATGAGGCTGAAGATGATTCCATGCTGGATGAATCTCGTGCTGTTATCATCCAGACAGCAATCAGAGGGTTCTTGGTATACTTTCTTAGTCAATACGGATATAGAACTTATGAGTTGGTAAAATTTCTTACCTTTAATCTTATGCATTCATTTGCAGGCACGGAAAGAGCTAGGAAAGCTTAAGAATTTAGTTAAGTTGCAGGCTGCTGTACGTGGGCACTTGGTCCGAAGGCATGCTGTCGGGACCTTACGCTGTGTTCAAGCCATTGTCAAAATGCAACTTCTCGTACGTGCTCGCTTATCTCAAGAAGGTTCTTATGCCGAAAAGAAGCTGGATGGAAAGAGGCAAGACGGCAATCAAAGATTGGTAATTCTTACAACTAAAATCAATAATTAGGAGTCACAGGGCTGTTTTCCTTGTATGTTCTGGTTCATTGTTGATGCGTGTTCCTAATTCAGCATGTTTAGTGTACATTCTATGAGCATATTTCATTTTCAAGCATGAAAGTTCAAAGTGATCCATCATGACCTTTAAAAATATTCACTTCATCTCGACTGGCACAACTCAAATTTTAAACACGGGTGGAGAGTGAACTCAATATTCAATTTGCATTTTCTTACTGCTCAGTTTCTGTTTGAGAGAGGGTTACAGTGGTCTAGATGGAGAAAGTTTTGGCACAATATGTTACGCACTCTACAAGTTTTGGCACAATAGTTTTACCCGTTATTCTTTCTTTAATTTATCTGAAGCAGGGAAGCTCGGCAACAAAAAAGAACTTAACTTACAATTCCATGGAGAAACTGCTTAGCAATAGGTTTGCTCGTCAGGTATGTTAAATTGACATTCATTATCTACTTGTTTTTTTAACTATTAGCTGGAACCTGTCTCTCAAATTATTCCTACCCCATCTATACTCAAAATTTCCTTTGATTGCAGATAATGGATTCGACTCCCAAGACCAAACCTATCCACATCAAGTGTGATGCATCTAAACCTAATTCTGCTTGGAGCTGGTTGGAGAGATGGATGTCTGTTTCTTCATCTGAAAAGTCATCGAGAGCAGAGTTACCTATTGAACAACCTGAACAAACGAAAAGCCACGATTGTGACTCTCCACTTACTGCTGCGGTTCCATCTGAAGTTATTGTGTCAAATGAACCTGATGGAGGGGAGACATTGGTTTCATCAGAGAGTGAAGAAAATCTGATCATTTATGACGCTGCCAACTTCAATTTTGAGGCACGCCAGCCGGCTTCCTCTTCTGTGAAGGGTGATTTGGAGCAACACCAGATTGACCATGTGAGTACATCCGACCTGAAAGTGACCTCTCTAGAGATGAACTCACAAGGAAAAACAATGCAAATCGATGCACATTCTCCAATAGAGGTCATTTGTCTTTCTAACAAGCCTGAGATCCAGAGTGAACAACCCAAACATTCTATGAAAAGATCTGCTTCTGAACAACTGGAAAAAGAGGCAAAGAAATCTGTATTTGGATCAAGAAAGGCAGATAATCCTGCCTTTATTGCTGCGCAAACCAAATTTGAAGAGTTGAGTTCAACAGCCAAATCAAGTAGATCAATTGATTCATCCCACCAAGATGTTAAAGTGGAATCGAACTCGGATACAGTGTCATCCGGGACAGATATGATAAGCAGATCAAAGGAGCCTAGCTTTGCAGAAAATCCTGTCCTCAGTAATTGGAAGGTTCAACATGGTGGCTCTGAATGTGGCACTGAACTTTCTATTACTTCTACTCTCGATTCACCGGATACATCTGAAGTTGAAATCTTAGAATATGAAAATGGAGCCAAAGTCTTGGAGCAAGAAAAATGCAGTTCTAACAGTCCTAAAGATTTGGATGTGAAAGACAATGATACAGTTGCGATGCCAATGCCTGACTCTTCTCTGTCTGTTGCTGATCATCCCGAGAAATTTGATGGTTCAAAAGAGGGATCAACCAATTTAATTGTTGTGGACTCCCCTCAAATCAAGCAGGAGCCACTCAAAAGCACAGCTTATCTGCAGAGAGAACAGGATTCTATAAAAAATCAAGCATACAGGTCATCCGCTGAAGTCTCTCCCCGCAGCCATATGACTGTTCCGGAGTCCCAAGGAACTCCTTCTAGTGAGGTATCAGTGAAAGCTAAAAAGAAAAAAGCCGACAAGAGCAGTCAAAAGCGCAAGTCCTTGTCTGCAACCAAGGGTTCTCCATCAACTCCTGTTGCTAGTAGCATAGAACAGTTGCCCAAAGATCAGAAAAACAGTAAGAGACGCAATTCTTTTAGTTCAACTAGACCTGAAAATATCGACGAGGAGCCAAGGGATAGTAACAGTAGCAATTCCGTCCCTCGTTTCATGCAAGCCACGGAATCTGCAAGAGCTAAGCTCAATGCAAATAATTCGCCAAGATCAAGTCCGGATGTGCAAGACAGAGACGTATCTATCAAGAAGAGACATTCCTTACCGGTCACTAACGGTAGGCAGGGTTCTCCAAGAATCCAGCAATCATCGTCTCAAGCCCAGCAGGCTGCAAAAGGAAATGGTACCAATCCTATTCCTGGTATGTTCTAAACTGTATTGTTATCTTAAAGTGAAGCTTGCTCATTTAGTGTACTGTACGCCATCGTGGCATGCTGCCTTAATGACATACTTGAACCCTATTTGTTTCAGAGAGATGGCAAAGATGAAGGCTTATTCGTAGCCAACCGTAGGCCATGGTACTTTGGCATTCGACGCCTCAGATTGAGAAGCGGAGCTGATTGTTGTTCTTACCATCTTGTCTTATGCCAAAGAATTATTTCGCCACATCAGTTGAATATATCTTGTATATTAGTAGACCAAAACCATTGAAATTTTATTTTTATTATTTTCCTGAAACTTTTAGACCGGGATGTTTGTGTATTTTTTGTTGAATTGTGATTGGTGTGATATTTATTTCAGGCTTGCAACGACATTTTTTTAGGATGTTTGTTATGAGTCTTAAGACTGTCCAGAGCTTTTAGAAAGGTCTTTTGTTTTAGAAAGGTCTTTTGATCAGTCTTTCCCGTCATAACTCTGCCATCCTCTGTTGTTTCATTGGCCACCGTTTCCAGGACTATTTTTTTTTCCAGTTCCATTGATTAATTCTATAAATTAGTTCTCATTTTAGAGTCCTTTTTTATCGGCTCTGCTGTAAACCTTGTACTATTTCAACATTGCATTAGGATTAGGAAGAAATTATCAATGTTCCGTTAAGAAAATACTCAAATTGTACTTGGGTGCCTCAGAACTTGAGCCCGAGTTAAATTTAAACATCCTCATACTTTGTTTTGAAAAGTTTATAAATCCAAGTTTATTATTATTCTTTTTTGTAGTAGTATTAATTAGTGTTAAATCTTAACTAGGATTTGATTTTTCTTTGGATAAGTTTTTTCATTGGCCGGCAATACGCCAATACAGGTACCAAACCATGAAGCTGTTGGGGTTTCACTTGGTGGCAAAGCTGATCCAGCTCAATCTGCTAAAGCTGAGGCTCCTGCTTCATACGACGACGTACATTTGTTCTAAGGGATGCCGGAATGGAGACAATTGTGCGTTCCAGCATGATACATCGTCCCAGAACAGGGGCAGAGAGATGAAAACGGATGGAGGCAATAGCAGTTAAAAACGTACTAGTACACTTTGTTTTTGCAAATAGTTTTAATTATAGGTTTCACCTTCTTTTTTTCATTTTTGGTCTTGCATCAAGCATTAAGATTTTAAATTTTGGGCAAGAGTGCTTTAATGAATCAATTCACCATCAGCTGTGGGTATGCTTTCTCAGTACTGCATTTTTTGGGCGGTGCTGCCTTTTTTGATATGTTATAACGGTAGAAAGAGGCCCCGCAGCAGTTAAAACTTAAGTTCCTTCAAATTTATACAGCCAATGTACAACAGAACAAAGAAACTCTCCCTCTCAAATAGCTACAAATGATCTCCATGAATAGTGACCTGCTCTATATTATTAAAATAATAATATTGTAGTGTAAGATGATGGTTTCCTTTTGAGTTCAGTTGCTCAGCGATCTTCTCTCTGTACTCGGTTGGGATCACCCATCATGTCCATCATCATCTTCTCAGGTGAATCTTCCCAATTAGCAAATTTTTTCAAGTCAACCTGCAGAAGGGCAGATTCATTCTTAAGCTTAACTGCTGATTAATCTACTTAAATCTTAAAAGGGTTTTGGTTACCTTTCGTCTTTGCTCAGTGAAGAGTTCTTCTCTCTTCTTGTATGAATTCTGGACTTCCTTTGCATTCTTACCACCAAGACCCCAAACTTCGACTTCTGATATCGAAGCTTCCACTGGTAGGAATCCCTGCAACAAATCAACTCATAGTTCAGCATCGGTCTTTCAGGCACTCAAGGAACCCAAATCAGTTTTCTTTCCCTGTTGAAAAAACAGAGCAGTTCATAACAGATAGAGTTTATCCTGAGGGTTAGGACTCTAAGAGACAAAAGACCAACTGGTGGTATGAACTAACAACTGTACAGGATTAGGCATTTTTATTATATGAGACTATATACTGCAGTTCTATGTACCTGATTCGGGATAAGGGGACCATGCTGGTAAGTTTTATCCATTGCATGATGGCGAACAATCAGCTTTGCAAAATCTTCGTCCATAAACATCCTCTCATTTGTAGTAGTTCCTCCAAATGCAATTCCCACAGGCTTTGGATGTGCTTCATAAACTCTTCCTGTAGGGTGCAAATGACTGTATACGAAGTTCTTCTCTTTCCCTATTAAAAATTACAAGTAACTGCATTCACCAAATCATCAACCAAAACAATGCTGCCTGATAGAAATTAATCCCAACATCCTTTATATGCCCCTTCAACAAGACCTCTTTCCCATGCCCCACAAAAAAGGGAATAAAACACGGAAAAAAGTGACCTTGTTTGATCACATACCTGAAGGTGAAAAAACATGGAAGATTGGACTTATAGCATATAGGTCCCCGGAGCTCCCATAGAATGTATCCTTATTTTCAAAACCCTGCTGTGTAAGTGCTCCTACGATCCATTTCCTGCTTTTGTTATTATCCTGGTTGGCGTCTTCTGAATTAGCAGAAATCAGAATAAGTAATGGACCATGATAACCTTCGACATTTGACCAGAATCTGTTCAAGCCTTTTCCATGAGAAGATGACCTACAAAGTCAAAAACAACCAACCAAATACATAAAAGTTACAAACACAGGTCATACAATACACACATAAAAGATGCACCGTATCTCGAAAGGATTTACTAAGAGCATTGATACTTTATGCATCACATGATTAAAGGGGAATTGACACACCGATACAGAAGATTTTCATCTGTTACATCAATATCAGCAGAGAAGCATAACTTCAAAATTTCTTCACTAACAGTGCTTCTAGATCCCAAGGAAACTGCCCATGCCCTTCCGCGTGTTAAAAGTAAAGCTTGAGATGCCTTTGAAGAAATATCTCCTGAAATTGATTCTGAAGGTCCTGCTTCGTCCTGCAATTCATAAAGAAGAGGTACCTACTAGTGAATCATTCGACTAGATCAACTGATTTTCGCATAATAATATTGCATCAAAGTTGCAAAAGAAAATAGAGTGGATATCAAGTACGCATGCAAGCACACACCGGAACAAGATATGGGAATTATATGATAAGCAAATATAAAGCCAACAATACATCACCTCTGCAATAACTGAGATTTGTAGTCTTCCAATGACGAATTGTGTAAAACAGTCCGAAAGTGTTGGTGCCGTTGACACCGCCCAACTAAGAAACTTTCCTACAGGAAGCTGAACATCCAAGCTCAGTATATCACAATCCCACACATCGAAGCTGCTATTGACTTCACCACATGAAAGGACAGCAGGCAACACCAAATGATCAATATCAGGCAACACCAAATGATCAATATCAGGCAACAACAGTTTCCCTTTCCTTTCAGAAGATTTCGAGGTCCTGACATTCCACAACATAGCCCAACACATCCAAAGAAGCAGAAGCAAATCAGAGGGCAGTAAAGACCCACTGATCTTGCAATCAGCATCTTCCAATTCGAACTCCAAATTCGAAGAAAGTCCCGATTTCTTCACTGCCATAGCAAATATCCTCAACAAAATGTTAAGAGACATCGATGTAGACATTCTCCCACAACACTTGACATAACCTCTTAGAAACCCTATCCAGTTTATGCCACCTTTTTCAGGCATGAAAAACAAGTCTACTATTGATGATCCTAAGTGATCCAACAAGCTGGGAAAAGACTCCGGCTTTTGTTGTGATTCGGAAACTGGGTTCTCGTAACGTATATGAAAACATTGCTGTAATCAACGTGGACAAGAAAAATTACAAAAAGGGTATCATAAAAATGAAGCGATTGAATGAAATTAAGGATGATTGGCTTTGTAAATTAACATTACCTGAAGAATTTGGATGGATATTGTGCTTGTTTGAGGATCGGAGAGTTTTGAGAAATATTTTTGAAGCAATGGAAGAGCTCCCGTGGAAGCCGCGAGGCTTTCCAACTCTCGCTGCTCCGCCGATACAGGTTGTTCCGTCGAAGATGATGCTCCCATTATTGCCAAAAAAAATTAAAAAGTTCCGTGACTCAGTTTTCGGAATTGAGGTTAATATATATCTCATATATATGATTTCTGGGAAATTCAGGATATTTTGGAGTGGCTTTTCGTCGCTCTGAAAAGCCATTCACTTTAAAAAAATAACGCGGCGTTTTTGTTCGATCTTACCGTGATAAAAACGCACCGCTTCATTTCTTAGGGAAAAGAAAAGAAAAAGTAAATTATATGGATGGTGTATTTTTTATTTTAATTATCGATTTAAATAGATTATTTTTATTGTTTTATATTACTAAAAAAATGGCTGTCCTTTTTTTTTATATGTACGAGGTAAGGGGAGGTAAGATAGTAGGTTACCCCCAACACCAGATTGAGAGTAACTTTCGTAAGAAATCTCCGAATTATGAAATGCCCTTCACGACCTCAAGGTTAAGAACCTTGTGCTCTGCCAACTGAGCTGGATGGTCATTTCATTGTTTTATATTACTAATTTGTTTAATTTTTATTAGCTAATAGAAATCTACAATTAGAAAATAAAACAAAGCTACATATCCTTTTCTCTTCTTCTATCATAAATCTGCAGTATAAATAACATATAAATGGAATACGACTATGCTACATAGCATCATGGGTTGAATTCAAAACAACATATATGTTTTTCCATCGCTTTGCTGAGCCCAGAGGTATGGGAGTGAAAACTGGAGATGGAACAGCGAGATTCAAGAGATGAACGCTTTGTTCTTCAGCTGCCAACATCTCCTTCAATTTCTCCCCGAACCAACAGTTGAACAAAAACATCTCCTTCATCTCTCAACAAATCGATTCAAATGGAAAAACACTCTTAATTTGTTGTCACGGTACATGAAACTACAATGATATTCAAGAGGTAAAAAAAGGGTTCTCTTCTGTACTCTAAAACCCCCTTTTTTACCCCTTGAATCTCTTTGTAGTTTCATAGTACCTCAAGGTGGCATTTTTTTGCTTGAATTTCATGATTTCAGTTGATGCCCTTGAAGCATCTATAACACAACTATTTGTTCTTCTTATACTGGTCTTAAGGATGTAGTGAATCTTAGAAATATATATATCATTACTCATCAGCATGGATCATGTCCTGATTGGTACACCTATTTGCTGGAAGTTCATTTTCCTGCTGAAAAATGTAAATTTTAGAATTCATACATTACATTTCCAACTCTACTACAGACATACTAGTTGAATACATCTGGTTTCGACGATTACTCAGGTAGGTGGAATCTTCAGCATTGCATTGCATTGCAACCCTCTGAATCAGAGCCATTCATGCCTTGCACTGTTGCTGCACTGTTGAGCAACTTCATCCCTTCTTCACTCATCTGTTGTACTTCTGTAGGTGACAGAATTCGGATGCAGCGAACACACCCCACGAATTCCCTGCACACATCAAACCATAGCCATTAGAAGCTGGATGCTAATGCTCCGACAAAGAAATATACAACGGTTGCAGATTAACTTACTCCCAAGGATCATCCCCGACCAGGAGAACATCGTTCTCATAATCCACATATACCAGTTTCCAGCCTGAACCTTTGGGATCATCCAGCAGACCCTTGAGTCCAAACATGCATTCAATTGCAGATATTAGTTCATCATAGTTCTTAAAGCTCGTGACATCGATCGACCTTCCTACAGATCCTGCCTTCTGAACCTGTCAGAATCAGACCAAGAAGAGTTATAGACACATGAATACAGTCCGCACATAACTTCGATGACCTGGGTATTTACATATCCAGAATCTATATTATCGTACCTTTGTATATGTTCTAACACGTGGAGCCATCTGCTTCCAGGAACTGCTTTGCAGAAGTCCACTCTCATCAAAATCAATGTTGCTACGAGACGTGCCACCGGAGCTGTCGGGCAAGTCTTGTAGAGAGAAAGCTTGAGAATCCGCAAGGCTAGTTGAGGTAATCTGAGATTGAACATCCTGACAAGAACTGAAATTCCCAACCAAACAATCTGAAGGGTTTTGAAAATCAGCATCCTTCAATGAGCAAAACTCATCTAGAATGGCACTGGACACAAAAGGACCAATCACAGTACTGCCACCAGTACTAACATCAACATTAAGACAGCTATTTATCCCACTTTGATTATTGCTGTTATCAGACAAATCCCTCACCCAGCCAGAATTAAGACTGCACGGATCATGCTGAGTGAAAGGAGTCAATTGGTCAGCTTGGAATGAAAGCCTGCAATTGTTCAGCTTTTGTTCCCACATATCCTGACCAACTGTAGTTAACAAAGCATCGGTATCAACAGGAAAGACGGCTGAAGAGTCCTGTAACCCAACCATCGGTTCGGGACCGGGTGATTTATATACCCCAGCGAAAGGTTGGCAAGAAGAAAGGTTTGGCATCCACTCATCGTTGTCTCTAAATGGAAGAAAGCTATTTAAAGTATTAAGATCAGCTTGGGATTCAAGTATTTGATGAGCTTGGAGGACTGATGAATCCAATGGTGACTGCGTCAGCCATGAATTATTTTGCACTTGGAGTGGAACCTGGTTCTGGTTTGGAAAAGAAAGTTGATTCGACATAGTCGGACTTGTAGCATTCGCCACCAAATTTTCCTCATTGCATTCAAATGCTGAAGTCAACTGCTCGGTGGAATGCTTTGATTCCGACTTTATCTTTTCATTACTGCTCCCAGCCCCAGCTAGTGTTAGGCTTTCAAATTTATTTGCAGGATGTGGATTCCCATTAGCATTGATTTGGGATATATTTGAGCTGATTGGATTGGATTGGTCAGGGACCAAGTTGGGAAGATTTTGGTTCTCGATTGACAAATTTTCCGATTGGATAAGCTGCGGTTTTTGGTTGCTTCCAGACTGCAAGTTCTTCATTTCTTCTAATGGAGATGGCTTAACATCAGTGAATTGTTGTGAACCAGTTGCAAAAATTCCGGGATGGTTAACAATCTGAGGCTTCAACATCATCTTCACCAATTGTTTGGAACATAAATTCGAGAACGAATAGGGAATATTCCCATTTTCAGGAAACTGGAGTAGTGGCCTTTTCATCAAGCTTCCCCATTCGGATTCTGCTCCTGTGTGCATAGGAAAAAAAAGAAACAAACACAAAGATAAGCATCTAAAAATGTTGTACACAACTCAATATAACAAACAGAAGCTTACCTGAAAATCCAGGATATAAAGGTCGCTTGAGACCAGAAGTTAATGAAGGAAAAATAAAGAGGCTTTCCGGAGTTTCAATTTCCCATGCGTTCACCCTATTCTGCTTATTGTTACATCCGGGTTCGTCCCACTCAACCTGTTTCGAGAACGAATACGAGACCTTCCATGTTTAAACTGAACAGCAAGTAAATCTCTACAGCTTAAACAGTCTTGAGTTCGATGAGAACAAACCTGAAGGTTTCGCCACTTCGAGCCAGGCCATCTCAAAGGATCCACCTCACTGATACCAACTATAGAACCCATATATCTACAGAAATTTGAGATACTTTAGAAGAAATGTGTAGATATATTGTAGTTTATTTCTCAAGTAGAAAAATCTTTGCAGCAATTACATCGTATAATCATTATGAACAAAATTTCATTAACACCAAGGCTGGAAACAATATGGTGAGAGGATAAAGAACTATTAACCAACTTACCTTCGTTTCCCGGACTCTTCTGTTTCGAACATCATACCAAACCTCGTACCAACTGAGACTTGAGAGCCATATACTGATTTCCGGTACTTAGATAAAGGGATGACAAATTCTGCAGGGCAGGCTCTGCAAAAACATCAAGAAATAGATAAAGAGCAAGAAAAGAAGAGCGCCAGAGAGAAAGAATGGACGAAAAACTCGTGGGGGTATGAATGCTATTAAACATACCTCGGATTGTAGAAAATTGTGAAAGGACTTCTATTGGCTGTAGCATGAGCAGCGGCAGCAAGAACACCAATGTGCATACTATCAGCAGATAGAACCGATGACGGCAATGTCGTTTGTTGACGATTTGCACGCCTTACACCCACCATTAGCTGTGACTTCTCATCCCTACAACAATAAGACATAATCATGAATATAGAAGTTAAAATATTTTGCACCAAACACATGTTAGTATGTGACAATGGCATACCTGATAAAGAGAACAGAATCACCGGCCTTAAGCCTTTTCGATCCGACAAACAAACTCCACCCGGTTGTAAGAAGATGTCGCTTTGGCTGCCCTGCATAAAAAAAACATCATATATTATACTCAAAATTCACTGTCAAAAATGCATATTTTACAGATATACACATCTTGCCCAATTTTAGTTATCGAATAAGATTACTTGCTCAAACAGATGATAAATAATCAAAAATCACACTCACCGCGGTATATATGACGAAATGTCCAGGTATTATCATGCAAATCTCTTACAACAAGCTCTTGAGTCGGGGGTTGCATGGTATAATCCTGAAAAACAGATCAAAAGGGTCGTGAATTCACATAATGTCCCTGCATGATCAATCATACCGGCAGCACTTAGAACAACCTACGAGAACCTCACCAATGGAGGAAAGAGCTTCTCGGCTGCTCTACGAGGCACCGAAAAACCACCATGTGTACTTGTATCACTTGCAGTCAAGGTTTTGCAGAAAAATTCATTTGGATGTTTGCTCAGCTTCAATCCAAAGTCGGGTATATGGAACACATCTTTTTCCTAATCAAACTCAAATCTTTGTAAATGAGGACAATGCACAGAATCATAATGTCGAAAAGGGTTCTTTCTTTTTATCAAGTACAAATATATGGCAAATTCATAAGAGTTTGAGATGTATAGTTATCCAACTAGAGAAGCTTACAGAGTTCACCGGTTGAAGACTCATTTGAGCATATATTTCGTCGGTATCTCTGTCAGCCTGTCAACGATTCCAAAGAAAGAAACATCAGTGTTTATTAAGACTAAATGATGTTAATGTCCCAATGTGACTAAAAATCATATATAAATGACATACATGCAATGTAACATTATGAACTTGGCACATTAATTGAGATGGAAGGTTAGGATAGTTGGGAATTTGAGAGGTGGTCATTCTTTTGGTGGACACAGCTACCTGCTCAAAAGAAAAAAAAACACCATTAGCCCTCTGGTTCTTGAACAAAATAACATCAAAAACAACTTTGAAAGAAAGCAAAGCAGATCTTCCGAGTTGGATGTTTCAAGGTCTCATTACGTTAATGCTAATGAATGCAAAAAAAAAACAATAAACAAGGAAAAACAATGTAACAGAAAGAAGACAAATGATAATCAAGTATGAGAAATAAATGCAAACCTGTTCGCTATGTCCTTGAGGGAAGTAATACACAAGACTTCCCACCTGAGGCAAAGAAACTAGTGGACCAGCACAGGCATGCCATAACTCAGAATTGATAGCCTTACGGGTCCCTGCAACCAGTCAGGAAAACAAATCCATCACACGAGTGATTTCGACAGAGATTACCTTATTTAACACTTTTGGAAGACTTAAATGCCTCGCCATTAAAACCAAGTAATAAATAACTTTAACATCTCTCATTTGTAAGCTTCTATGTTGAAGAGAAGAACGTCAACGGTTCTTGCATATTGGATTAAAACTAAAACATAAAAGAACAAATTTTGTAAAAGAATACAAACCAGATTGATGTTGCATTTCTTTCAATAGCTTCATTTCCTCGAGTAGAGTCGACTGTGTGCCTCCATTAACCAAAGCTCCTGGTTTCATCTTCTCTTCAACAACGGAACCCGTCATTGCTAAAAGAATTCTTCCTTTTCTAGACTCTTTCACAATAAGAACTCAAAGCAAAGACCCCCAGCTTTACATCTTCACTAAAGAGAAACAGAAGACCATGAACTTCCATAAGGAGACGAAACAAATTCCCATCCCCATTGCCCCTATATGTTATCAGATGGACAGATTATTCTAAGGGTAAAAGGAGTATCATGGAACAAATGAAAAACAAAAGGTCTCTCCAATTGGTACAGAAAGGAGAAACCTTTTAGCCCCTCTACAACACCACAAACAAACAAACTAACAACAGCAGCAGTAGAATCAACGTCCAAACTCAAGGAACAAAAACCTGCAAAGAAAAGGGAACAACACTGGGAAGAAGGAAAAAAGAATTTTTTTTGTGTGGGACTTTTGATATGACAAAAAAGGAAACACCTTGCCTTCTCCTTCAGCATCAAAGCACGCCGATCATAGCATTTGAGTATATTAGTATCTCTCTCTCTATAAAAAAAAAAAAGATAAAGACCTTTCAGTGAAAACCCCACTATCCTCTCATCATTCACTTTGATTCCTTCCCCACTCTCTAGCTACACCACCCTGAAAAGAAAATAAAAACAAAAACAAAACCCAAAGCTAAAAAACTTGTAAATTTTCGATTTTTGCTACTCTGTTTTTATAATACCAAAACAAATAGAATGAATGAATGAATGTGTAAGCTGCTTGAAACTAGGAAGAGTGTCCATGCTCCTATCCTGCGCACACACTTTCTATATAGGTGTGATTCCGTTGCAGCTTTAAACTTCAAACCAATACATTATATATATAATATAATAAATAATAAAATAAAATAAATGTCGAAAACAGAGCAAAACTAACGCAACACGAAAACAGTACAGTATAAGAGCATAAAAAAGTAAAAAATATAAACTTTTCTTTTTAAACAAAGAGGAGGGAGAAGAGTGCGTAGTATAATGAACAAGACCTACGTGGCGTTGCATAGCACGTTGACAACGAGGATTGGTTGTTTGGACTCTCCAATTTCCGGCGTGTGTGAAAGTGTTTTTTTATTTAATTTTATTTTTATTAATATTAATTTATTATAATAAATAAGTTAGTAGTATTTTATTTTTATTTTTACGTATGATAATTTGACTGATAGTCGTCCCGCGTGCGATTCACGACAAACCAATGTGAGGAAAGTAGGGGACATTTTGGAGCTAACACGTGTTGCCTTATTTTTCTGACTCCGCTGTCACGGCGCCGTTTCTTCTTTTCACGTCACACATATTATTACTCTATAGTTTTTGCAACTTGCCATTGTATAATACAGTTTCCTATTACAAGTTTACAACATATATATATATATATATATATATATATATATAATTACCTGCTTTTATTCTTTTTAATTTTTTGACAAATAATTTTCTTTCTATGTACGAACCTATTAGTAAATTCATTAAAAATAATTAGGCACGTACATTTTCTTTATAAAAATCTGAATCTGAACTTGAATTCTCAAATTTAGTTTTTAAAAGTCAAAATTATTTATGATTTATATTCAATTCAAATATTATTATTTAAAACAATTAAAATATTTATCATATATTCAATTTTATTAAAATATTCAGCTTACATCAATATATTTTAAAAAAATTAACATAAAATACTCTTTTGAAATTGTGTCAAATATATTTCCAACGCTATTTATATATAAATTTTTAAAGAAAAAACTTGTGCGGACAACCTATTCTATTCCTAATAAGAGGAAAAAAAGTGCTCAAATGTCATAAATCAAGAAATAAGTACATCGTTCTGAATATCATGAAAAATGATGTTGGGACAAATCGAATTAAAAAAAAAAGAATCGTCACTTCTTAACGCCCAACTAGCAAGAGTATGAGCAACACACGATTATAATCACGACTAACATACGTGATACAAAACTGAGAATGGCCTTGGAAAATCGCACGAGCCTTTTGGACAAAGACACCCAAAGTTGATATATCCTCGGAAGCTCTTGTAATCTTGTGAACTACCATCATCGAATCAGTTTCAAACTAAACAGTCATCCAATCATTCCACAATAGAACCAAAAAACTAGCAAATGGATCACGTCCAAGCATCGAAAAAGCTTCCTCCATCCACAATAAGTATCATCCGTAGAGCTAAGATATATACGAGTAGGAATTTTAGAAAGCCGAAGGACCTCTAACGTCCTTAGACAGCTACGTAATACATATTACATGTAGCGCCGTTTCCTCAGCATTTGAACAAAACGGACATGTTCTGTCGGACTGACTAACAGTTTTAAGACGACTCCCCACAGGTGAAAGTGAAAATATTCAAATTCTCTAGTCACATTTAAAAATGAATGGATAACCTCTAAGCTTATATTAATTATTTGCATAATTGATTGCTTATTTAGTTTAAGCATGCATGAGTTTTCAGAGCATGCAAGTGTTTGGATTTTAAATAATTTTATGTTTTCTATCTCATGTATGTTAAAAAGAATTGTGATGAACATTTTCTAAAAGTTTTAATGATTTTTCATAAATGTTTGTTCATCATAATGAATTTTGTTAAAATTTAGTTTTAATTTTTAACCTTAATTTAAATGTTTATGCATGTGATTTATTGAAATGATATCTATCTAACAATTGATATCGTTTTTTCAAATGCATAACATTTTTTGGATAGCTTTATGCACATGCATTTAAATACAACAATTAGAATTGCATAAAGTTTATTAGACTTGGATATGTTGAATTTCATGTGGTACTAACATGTTTATTAATCTTTGTTGAAATTCAATATCTTTTAACTGTCAACCTTTTAAAGTCAAATTCTTGTTTGGAATGCTTTTATTGAGGGGGAGTTTTGATTTTTCAAATGATTTTAATGTGAACTTTACCACTTACACTCATTTTTATTTTTTTATATAACAAAAAGGGAGAGAAGTATATGTATGAAAAAAAATCAATTTCAAGAATGAAAAAATTGAAACTTTAATATTTTCTAAATATGTCTATTTTTCATGAAATATTTTATTAAGGGGGAGTTTTGCTAAAAACATTTTTTCAAATGTTTTGTTATATAAAAAATGGGGAGATTGTTGAACTATGTTTTATAATATTTTGATATAACAAATTAAGGCAAATGTTTTTTGACGTGATTAAATTTGTTCAAAAGTTTTCAAAAATAATTCAAAATCCATTAAAATAGAATTTGAGCACAAAACTACTTTTCTGGGTACATAGTACCGATACTGTTATTACAGTATTGATATTGCATGATCAATGCCGATACTTTTCATGTGGTACCGATACCAAATGTAAGAGAAGTATCGATACTCTCTATGTAGTATCGATACTACCAATTTTTTTTTCAAATAACTCAAATTCTAGAATGTAAAACAGATATCAATACTCGAAGGGATACTGATACTACTTTACACAGTAGTATCGATACCATGAGCATAGTATCAATACTGGTCAAGGCCAATGGTCTTTAACGGCTAGTTTATTTAAAAATTATAAAGGTAGTACTGATACTCATTAAAGGAGTACCGATACTCTCTTTCCTGGACAATTTAATTTTGCAGAAAAATAATCCCCAAAGCTAGAAAAGACCACAAACTCATTCAAACATATAAAAACAAGTTGATGACGCTTGAAGAAGGGTTAGAACACCTATCTAAACAATTAAACACAATAGAAGAGTTTTTCACTCTTATTTTTTATTTCTCTTATAAATATTAGTGTTTTAATGAGTTTAATCTTGTAAACACCTACCTTTTAGAGGTTTTCTTGTTTACATTTTTATTCCTTTTGAAAAAAGGTGTTAGTTTTAGTTTAGCCATTGAAAAACTAAGGGTTTTGTAAAGGTTATCTCTTTGTCATTGAAAATGAAAGAACAAATTAGTGAATTTGTTAGAAAATCCTTAGTGTGGAGCTAAGATAGTAGATGTAGACTTGATTTAAAAGTCGAACCACTATAAATCCTTGTGCAAATTTCCTTTTATCTTTTTACTCGATACCCAAAATTTTTAATTGGCCAATTCACCTTTTCTTGACACTTTTAGTTGATCATTTGAGCTTTATCGCAATCCCAACAAAATCACATTTGGTAATTTGACTAGTCGCAACATGTTGTCCATATTTCCCATAACTTTTTGGAACTATAGACAAAGAAGCCAAGCCCGCATTAACCTCCAACACGATAATTTTATAAGAGATATTATCACCCAAATGCGTCTCAACAACAATTTCAGTATCAGTATTCTCCACAAACTGCTCGGATTCTTCAAAAGAGAAAAGACTAAGAATTTCCTTTATATTATAAACCAATTTACCTTCAATAAGAACGTTTTCATCATCAGTATTAGTTGTCTGAACATCATCAACAACTAGCACTTGTTTGCCACGATCACCACCCAAGTTCACATTAACAGGTCAAATAGGAGTTTGATCATCCTTTAAATCTGCTACATATTACACCGCGCTTAATATGACTACCTTCAGCAGATTTTGGAGGCGATACACGTAACTATTCACCATACATGAGCTTTGTTGAAGCTTCCATTTTCACGGTTCGACAAGAAAATGCTTGGTGGCCTACAAGGGCTTTCATAGCGGATCAGACACAACTTTGGCTTTGAAAAGCCAGGAACTCCAAAGGCTATACAATGACGCAATGCCTTCAAGATCAACTAGAACAGAAATAAAACATTGGGTTGAACTCTTCTTTGGTGTCGAGATAATAGATATGAATAGTCATTGACTCATCGAAAACAGTAGAAGAATGAGACCCATTACGGGACATACAATGCATTACAAGCGTATGATCATTACGCTTCAACCAGGTTATTCTAATCCACTTCTTAGAACGAAAAGAACTTAAATCAAAATACTTTAATAGAATGACGATACATTTATACAAGATACACACAACAGAGTCTTAGACAGTCAAGTGAAATCTAATCCACAAAATAATTTGATATACGGACATCATCATTGTGGTAAAGGTCGTAATGCCAAAGGAATCATTATCGCAAGGCATAGAGGGGGAAGTCATAAGTGCCTATACTGTAAAATTGATTTTCGACGAAATGAAAAAGACATATATGGTAGAATAGTAACCATAGAATACGAAACTAATTGAAATGCATACATTTGTCTCATACACCACGAGGATGGTGAGACAAGATATATTTTTCATCCTAGAAGGGCTATAATTGGAGATACCATTATTTCTGGTACAGAAGTTCCTATAAAAATAGGAAATGTCCTACCTTTGAGTACGATTTGAACTATTGATTTACATAATTGAAAGTAATCAATTAGGTTTACAACAAAACCTAAAAATCGATAAATAAAGTGCTATTTATATATAATAATTAGAAAAATAGGGTGACATT